CATGAGCTACTTTATTTGTCTTCCTATTACAATGTTCAAATCTAACTAACGAAAAATCACAAGCCATAAAATAACAATCATCAAACACAGCTGCCACCGCTCCCGCTGTATGTCCTTCATTCTTCATCGTGTCAATTACTTCCATATTGTCGGAGTTAACAACAAGTCGGTTGCTTCCCGCCTTTTGTGCAAATCAAGGCCTGCCTCATAGTTGCTCTCCTCTACCAAGTCTCATAACCGGTTGTGCCCGCACCGGGAAGGAGCAAAGGACGCCGGACGGGATGAAGGAAGGGAAGCAGCGGAATCTGGTGGAGGTGAGGGGCAAGAGGGAGAGTTGCCAAGCAAGTCGCCTACAGGGGAAGAGAACGACACAACAAAGCCATCGCCTCCGAGGATGAAACCTTCATCTAGCCCTTTGTGGTTAGATCTGACAATGGTTGTGGCCGGCCTTCCCTTCCAGGAGGTGTCTTTTTTGGAGAATCTTATCGCAGTCTATGTGTTATCAAGGATAGTGTCGGATTGAGTTGCTTGTTACCATTCAACATGACATTTCAATGTCATGCCCCCTTGTTTTTCTTTTCATAATGCATTTCTGTGCATCCTTGATGTCTCAACTTATTCTTGACTTTGTTGTTGTATAAACTGTTTAATTGACTTCCGCACATTCCCCTTTATCCAAAAAAAGAACAATGGCATGGGTTCAATTATTTTGTTGGATGCACATATTTTTCATTCTTCAATACAAATGCGCACTTTTTATATACATAAAAAAGACTAGCACTCTTTCTTTTTAAAGTAACCATGAAATATGTATCTAACATCCGGGGAGCACATTGGAATACAATATGCACATACACACCTACGTGGTCTGCACACACGAAAACAGATGATGAGGTTATATGCCACCGGATTATTATTTTTCCATAGTAAAGAAAATGTGCATCTTTGTACGAAAATGTAGACACATGTTACTTCAAACATTGAGCCATTCATAGAAACGTCTTGCACGTTAAATATCGAACTTCAGAGTTCACACTAAATTAGATACCGCTGAGTCTACCAGAATACTGAAACATTGTTCTGATCTGCTGGTAAAAGAGTTGCACGCAAAAGCTTAATACGGGCACTCTACCAGAGGTTATAAATGGTACCAAACAGATATACATAACACATACTTTCTTCGTTCCAAATTACTCGTCGCAGAAATGGATGTATCTAGTACTAAAATACATCTAGATACATTCATACCTGCGACAAGTAATTCGGAACGGAGGGAGTAACTCCTAATATTGTTCTGTGATGCGTTTCATAGACAATTCCAGTCTTCAGTTCTTCACCATGAGTTAGTTAATCCTTCAGACTGGTTCCACCTAGCCACTGCGCAATGTGAACAAAGATATTCTGAAGATTGAGTGGACAAGATAAAATCTGTTAGAAATGTATTGCACTTATATATGCACTGCTGTAAGGACAACAACATTAAAACACTTATAACTGAACCGTTGTAATTATTTTTTTCCCTACAGGTGTTATAGAGGTTAGAAGACAGTGCCCTTTTAAGATACCACTTACCTAACAAGAGGTAAGAGGAGTATTTTAATCTCACCTTCCATTGATCAAATGCTTTCTTGCTGTTATATGTGTTATGAGGAAAAAATAATAATTTTAATTCCACATTTCCAATTTATAGATGATGTCCATGTTGACTACTGCACACACAATACATTTCTCATACCAAGGCCCAAGAAAGACGACTTCTTATGGAACAATTTATATGATTGCCGGTAGACATTGAAACTACACATCTCTTCAAAAAGTTTTGCATATCCTCCTAGTTATGTTCAAAACTAAAACTCACTCTTCCAATCAATAAATACATATACTATTACCGATATCACTATAAATATCAATTTATATGATTACAATTACTATAAAATGTAGAGCATATCCAATGATATGTTGTATAAAGATGGTTCATTGGAATTTTGGTGACTAATACTATTCACATATAACTAAAAATATGGTCGTTTATTATAATTTTATTATTAGGCATGCCATGATAATCATTTGACGCAGCTTTATTCTTCAACTTATTACAACATTGATATGCACACATTATTAATGGCACATGAATATTTTTGTCCCAATAAAGAAAGAAAAATTCCATGCATCAATTCGTATTATGATAATTTTTCCCTTAACTAATGATGTGCTTTAATAGTACATAATTTTACTAGGTGCAAACTCTATATTAACCTTATATGGTCATTCATAGCTTGCATCATTTTAATGCCCAGGCTACAGGTAGCTCTATCATGAGCATGTAGTCACTTAGCTAGCCAAGGCGCAAAATGGATGAAAACTAAGAAAACTATATTATATAACAAATCTAATTGATGTTTGCTAAGAAACCTACTGCACGATATCATGCGATAAGCTGGGTTCATTCAGAAGTTATGGCATCTTCACGTCAATTAATTAGCCAAAACAACTGCCCAGAAGACCGAAATCACACAATATATTAAATAAAGTTGGAAGGTGCGGGTCATAAAGATTGGCCCAACAACCCCAGCCCCTGGCGATTTATGCTATACAGACCTGGAATACATAATTGGACTAGATCATTGAGGCGCAGTAGTGAACAAGATTGCGAGCTACCTGTCGCTCAGGACTTGAATTGCTTTCTCATTCATAGCCTCTTACAACAAGAGCAAACAGCTAATGCAGTACATATTAGTTTGGCATTACATAAAATAGATGGTTCGCATTAGTTTGGGAGCACCTGAATGTTTCTCCAAAATGCAATGCATATTAATTTCAAGGATTGTGATATTTGGCATACGTGTGCCATATAAGTAAAACTGCCACACCTCTACTTCTTTCATTTTAAAGTATCACACGATTCCTCGTCCTTTGACCTCGCCTTCTCCCAAACGACCCCGTAGGCTCGCCCGAGAAACCTGCTTCTCCTGCACATCTCGGGCGCCCACCCCTGAGAAAACGGTCACTTCTTTACGTCTACCACATGATTTCTCCTCAGGATAAAGTTACCATGGTATTTGTATGCAAGTTATCAGGCATGTGTTGCATAACTTACCGTGTTATTTACATAGAACGTACCAGGTACTATGCTTTAACAACTACACCCCTTCAAAGTTACCACTGTGTTTTGTACACAAGTTATAAGGTCTTCGATGTGTAAAATATAGTGGTACTTACACATAAGTTATCAGGTTATATGTACATCAACCTTCCCCCGGTCAAAGTTATAATGGGGGATTGTACATGAGTTACCGGGTCTACAGTTCGTATATTATCATGATACTTGCACCTTAAAACCTGGATGTGTTTCGGTAGCTTTTTCCATAGGTCAAAAATTACCACGATGTTTTTGCGCAACTTATCACGTCTATAGCACGTGTGTTCATCATGACATTAAACATTATGTGACTTTCCCGTGGCACGCCATGTGTTGTGTTCATCCAAAAGGCCCACGCGCGAGATGAGTGTATGTTTTTAACAACTTATTTTCCTTTGGTAAAAAAGTAACCATCATGTTTATATTGCAAGTTATCGGTTATGCGTGCTTATATTATCATGTTATTTACACACAAAAATTTGGGGATGTTTTGAACAACTTTTTTCCGGAACAAAAAGTTATCATGGTGATTCTAGGTAACCTATCAAGCCCGTAGTGCTTAAAATATCATGCTATTTACACAAAATTTATCAGG